CAGTTTTTCATATTAAAAATAAATACGTCTCCGATCCACTCCTGTTCGGCATTGATTCCAATTTCACACGATCTTGCTAAATCTGATAATGCGCCCCAAAATTGTTCGTAGGATTCTCTATCCTTTTGTTCCCTGCTCAGTAATTTTTATCGTTCAAACGTTATATTTGTTGGTTTGATAAAAGACGATTCTAGCAGTTCGTAAAATCTTTGAACGAGACTCCTAGGACTTTTACCCTTGGATGTTTTTGGGCGAAAACTTTTTTGCCTTCCGCTCCTAAGACTAAGTACATGATTGATCTTACTTTTTTGTCGGCCTTATATCTCCTCATTCCTCCGAATTTTTGTTTCTCTTCTGCTAGCTTTTTCTCTTCTGCGTGTTCATAGACTCGCATTGTTTCTTTAATCCTGGCCTCCGTAGCTTTCCTCTGTGGGTCAGTTTCTGACTCCTGGGCGCCTTCTAGGATCGGTAATGTCGTCTCTTCTTCCACTGGTTCTTTAAGATTGTCTATGTCTAGATTTTCCTTCGCAATGATAGCCAGATGGAATTGGTCTATCCAATTGTTCCATTGGGTGGGAGGTTCTACCGCGTGGTTCGGCCAAAAGGCGGGTATTCCACGCGGGTTCGAATCAGTTGTTGACTGCGCCATAATAAAAATGTAGGGTTACCACTGGTAACTATTAGATCTAACTAAGATTAAAACAGAGTAAAAAATAATGTGTGAAATGAAACTGACTGTAGTCTAAAAAAAGCAACTAGTGACTCGAAGTCCAATGGACTTCGTACAATAGACGTTAACTATAGTTGATTAGACAAAAAAGGTCAAAGTTACTAAAATACTAAATCACAACACTGATCAATTTAAAATGGATTATAATCCTATTTTTGGTCAAATCTTTAAAATCTGTTTCAATCTCGATGACAATCAATTATGAAGGATTATAATCTGTTTTTTCCTAACTTATTCTGAAAGTTTCAAACACAGTGCAGTATGTTCAAAACATACCTGTTGATTTTGGCTTGATACTCGTCGTTAGATCACATAAAACGAATTTTACTTTGGCTTAGAAAATATTTATCATGTTTTCAGTTTTTTTTCTCATAGATTTTATAGTTTCTCATTTTTTTGTTGATCTTTATTTAATCGACCTAATCCATAGGCTTCCCTCGTCGATCTTTCAGCCTGTGACACCCCCTCCAGGTTAACACATAACAAAATTTCAAACCAATCAAAATCGCTAAGCGTTTCTCTGGGCTAAATGTCATTCTCACAAAATCGAAGTCAATATTAACAGAAAATGTAATAAATCAGTGGAAAAAATTCAAAAATATTACAAATTGCCGGTTACAACCGCATTACTATTTAGATAATCATCAAGATTAATGAGTTCAAAATTATAAGAATTTTTGAGTCTTGAAAACGGATCTGCTTATTATCTAATCGGTCAATATTAACACCAATGGCCTGGATTTAATTGCTTACTTTGAGATTTTCGCGATTTACTTAGAAATTTTGAATACTCAATTCTGATTGGCTGAGAGTAAGCTAAAATTTATTTCAATCATTCGGTCCTTCAAGCATGAGAGACGCCACCTGGACTGGAGGAGGGTTGAAAGTGAACAGAGAAAGAAACGGGGAGGGTTCTCATGCTTGAAAGACCGAATGCTTGAAAAATTCAACCAATCAAAACCGCCAAGCGTTTCTATTGGCTAAATGCCATTCTCACAAAATTGAAGTCAATATTAACAGAAAATGTACTAAATTAGTGGAAAATTAACAAAAATATTACAAATTGCTGGTTACAACCAATACTCAATTCGGATTGGCTGAAAGAAAGCTAAAATTAATTTCAAGCATTCGGTCTTTCAAGCATGAGGGACGCCACCAAAGAAACGGTTATTTAATTAAGAGTGATAAAAGTGATTAATTTTCTAAATTGAGTAGGCCTTGAGTAAAACAGAATTTGTTTCAAGTTTTGCAAATAAGTAGCTAAAACAAAGAGATTATAATCCATTATAATCAGTTCCAATGATGTTTTAAAAGATTAGAACCCACTATAATGTATTTTAGTGGATTATTGTGTTTTTATGGAGGTAGCCGATCATGTTGACACTATAACCGATTTCAAGGACTAACTTTGCGCAATAATGGGTTATAATGACAAATTTTTATTCAAAATTTTCATAATAAGCAATTGTTTTTATGAAATGGTGTGAGATCCGATTCCATCGGGACAAAATTAACTGTATTGAAATTTTCTGATTTTTTTCGAATATCGATATTTGATTAATTTTTTTCAATCATATGAAAATTTTATGACATACATTGTTTCCATAAAAAAACGTATAGTTTTTTGTGTGTTTTGTGCAAAAACACATAAAACACAGCAGAAAAAACTCATAGGTACAATCACCACAATCTAACATTTGAACAAATGTGCATGTGTACTTCAGCACATTGTGAAATTAGTAGTATAAAAACTTAAATTATTTTGCATGATTCGTTTAATTTCTGTCATACCTAAGTATACTTAATTCAAAAAAGTAAAGAACCATAGCAGTCTTTTTTTCGAAAGTTTCACATATTATCAAATTTTTTTTCCAATTTCAATGAAGAGACATAGGTGTCTTCTCGTTGCTCAAAAGTTGTCTAGTTTTGTAAGATGGGTAAAAAAATTACTCATTTTGTGATTCATGAAAACTGTCTGATTTGGTTTAGTTTACGGTTTCTTTCTATGAAATTGCAAGATTGAGGACCTTTTTAATTTTCGCTCAAATGTGCCGGTTTTGAAAATTGATAGAGAATACTTATCTATAGAATTTTTGGACTTTCCCGGTCTATAAAACAGTTTTGCTTATTTAAGAGTTTTTAAGATTCATTCTAAAATATCTATGAAAAACATTTTTTTAGACAGTAACTTTACCTGTTCATGATAGCTTTTGAGTATAATCTCCAGATAGTTCTTATTTTCCTTCTCGAATTGTACATTTTCTGGTTTTTATTGAGGAAATCAAAAACCAGTTCACACGCACATTTTGTACGTCAAATTTTTAGGTAGTTTTTATTACCGGCTCTCGATAAAATCGTATATTAAAGTTACCTTAAAATGCTGACATTAAAAAAAAAAACTTTTACCCCACTTGCAATTGTAGTCGATAGCAAATAGAACTTATTTAGATAGATGGCAAATGGTTTTACTTACATTTTAAAAGTGTTTAAAATGGGTTCAATACAATTTACATGCAAACAGTATATGTTTTGTAACTTATTTTTATGTGATACTGTTTTGCAAGAGCTTACCAGCCTTTTTTAGGAGTGCGAAATCGAAGACCTGATATGGATCTCCCAAAACTAGCACTTTGGAATTCCTTCAGATCTACTTCGCGCTAGGTTAAGAAACAACAAGGTTACTGATACTCAGTTGATTCTGCATCGCAAGTATAATTTAACATGTACACCACTTTTCAAAACTCTTAGTTTCCACCAGAGTTTTTCTTCGCAAACCTTTATACAAAAAATACACTTCATATTTGTTTAATAAATGTTTTAACAAAATTTAAGTCTTAAAAATTCTACGCTTCTGATTGAAATCAAGAGTCATTTGCTTTCTGCTGCAAGTCAAAATCAGCACTGAAGTTTTCGAAACTCAACGAAATCTTCGTTGCTGACTTTGGCACTGAAGATGCTGGAAACTTTTCTCATCGTGGAAATCTATGCACGTTCCATCTAGGTGGTTGATCTATTTTTGTGAAACTTTAGTTTCCAAATCCTCATCTTTCGCATCTACAACCGCTTTGCACAAACAAAATTTTAGTTGAATTAATTTTTAAAAATATTATCATATAAAACAGCTCACAAATAAACTAGTTGTGCGAATGAACGATTCTCCCATTCTTGCCTCCATTTCTGTAATTTCAAATGGTCATAAGGTTAATCATATTGATCATTATAATCTCAACAATAATATATATTTTTTGCTTATTAGTTCAGAGACTTTTTGGCGCGGTGTGAAATTTAAGTCGTTTGTGTTTCTTGAAAAAATCAAAAATTATTCGAATAAGTGATTACTAAATTTGTAATTTTTTCTTGGTACTTTTACTCCTTTTTTGCTCTGACTTATAAGATATTTGATGAATATTTAAATCATATCTTGCGATTTTGTTTGAAGCATCATACCAGTGTGCTTTGTTCAATCCAGAGGACAAAACTAGTTAGCACTACTGACTATTTTTTTGGGGAAGTTTACTTTTGAAATTTGTTGTTGGATAATACTTTTATTGATCACTTAACAAAAAATTTGACTTTTAGCGAATTTTAGTTTTAAAAATAGATTTTGAGAAACTTCAGAACACTCAGCTGGTTAGAAAATGTTATACTGATTTAGTTTTCTTGACTTAAAAAAAGTCTCAAAATTGCAAAAAAAAAAAATCTTTTTAAAATCAAAGAGCTCAAGGCCATACCTCTTTTTCTCGGAAGATGCCTCGGAAATTTGATTATTTTTTGTTATTTTTTCATGGTTTTTTTTCCAATTCCCTGGTAGCCAAGTTAATTTGTTCTCCAAGAAGCCAGAACTTTGCTAGTTTCAAGTCTCATTAGAGTATGTAGAACGAAACTAATCAAAACTATTATGGCAGATGTAGTTTTAAAAAGGTTTGTTCTTTTGAGCGTGCTTTCTTCAGACTTTCGTGGACTAGTTAATTATTTTTGCTTGTTTTTATCCGTATAATGATCCGGCTCAGTATTGTTAATTGGTTTTTGAGAAAATTTTTCCTGGTTTGCTGGTCTATGTTAAACCTATTCGAAAGAATTGAAGGACTGATTTGCTAGATTTTCAATGAATTTACTATTTTATTAGTCTCATCCAATATCAAATTGAACAAAGTGTTTCATGTGAGTTCAATGGCACTATTCAGTATGATGCCATAATTTTGTACCTTGTTAACAAACAAATAGGAATTACCAGTCAGTAATTAGGAATTTTCAATCGGTTCACTGAAGGTTGGATTTTTCTGATAGTTTTGTGCAAACATGCGTTAAAAGCCCTCTGACAAACCAGCTGAGCCCAACCAATCAGTATTGTACTAGAAACTCGAAACACCTGTTTGGAACAATTATTAAACAACAAAATGTCGGAAAATCGACTTAAACAAGCGCGTCTTTTCCTTTACCTTTTTTCTATTCTTTTAAACTTCTCTTTTTCAAGAATTGTGAAGCCTGTGAACAGTGATGAGGCAAAAATTGAACTCCAATCGGAGGCGCTTATAGTTAGCGGACTGTACAGCAAACCGAGGCCTTTCTACGCCAAGCTTACTTATTCATCGCCCAAGTTTTTCTGTGGCGCTACTATTATTGAGGAGCAATTTGTCGTAACAGCTGCTCGTTGTGTTGATCATGTCGGTGGTAAGCTTCAAATTTACCTTTACATTAGAAAAAAATATATTTTTCAAAAAATTCAAATCTTCAAGTTTTTAAACGGTTCATAAATCTTCGTGGAATTGAATCACATCCCTGATTTAAAGGTTTTTAATGGAAACTATGATCTCAAGTTCGTTGTACTTTGCCTTAAATTTTATCGTGTGCTTGTTTAGTCTCTAATGTGACATTAGAAGTTGGACCGTTCTGGCAAGTAAGCCCTGAGACAGTGAAATATGCTGTGGAAGCCAAATTCATCTCATCTTCGTAAGTTTATTTGTACTTAATTTACAATTCTTAAATATAAAACGAATTTTCTCTTGTTTAGTTTGTTGGATTTTTTGGTTGGATTTGAAAGCATACTTTTCGACCGTTTTTTGTGAAATAAAAGATTGAATTTTTTCTTTTAATTATTCAATTCGAATCTATAATTTTTATTGTATATTTTATACATTTTTTCAGGTATGATTCGTTTATAGTGATCGAAATGATAAAATTTTTTAATTTGACAAACTTTTGAATTTAAGCTCAATTCGCCTTCAATTTTCAGGTACATTGGTGGTCCTAGGCCGCTTATGGACCTTGCCTTGCTCAAAACCGTTGAACCAATTCGAGATGCCAGAAACAAAATCATTCCGCTATGTACTCAAGTATCTCCAGAATCTGAACATCATTATAGAATGTTTGGCGCTGCAGGCATGGGATCAACGTCAACGTCGGTCAATTTGTACCAGTTTTCGGTTGTTTTGCACGAAACATTCTTCTTTTTGTCAAAATACAAAACAAATTCTGAACACGAAATGTGCAGAGCGGATAACGTCTGTACGCGACCACGTTTCATTGAAGGAAGTATTTGTCATATGGACCAAGGAGGTCCTTTGTATAAATTCCATTGTGGGTCTCTTGTTCCAGAATGTCTGTACGGTGTTGCCAGTTATTGGATGACCAATCCCGGACTCAATAGCAATGAAACTTGTAACGGAGGAAGCTATTTTGCAAGTGTGCCCGTGTTTTATAATTGGATAAACTATCATTTGAGCAACTATGCAAATCGAGAAACTAAAAAACTAATTGAGATGGACTTATAGGGTTTTGGGTGAATGTTAAGCCGATCTGATCTATTAGTCAATTAAGCTGTCAATTAACTGAGAAAGTAAAACAAACTAACAACAAGTGAAACGAAATAAAAAGAACGGAGTTTGGTGAGGTAATTGCAATTAGGGGGAAAAATTAAAAATTTTGCAGTAATCAATTGCTCAACCACTAGCAAGCTTGTATTTTGTTTCTTTAAATTTCTCATTTGATCGATAACTAAGTTCACTGTCTAGATCAGGGCCTATGAAATTAGACAATCAGCACTTTAGACGACAAGCAAACGGCCGTAAAGAAAGACACACAAATTGTTGTCTAAATTCCGTTATTTTCTGATCGTCTTATTTCCTGTCGTCTATGCTCCTAATCCCCGTCTAGATCAGACCTGTTGCTTGTCGTTCCCAAAGCTTTGTTTTGACTCGCGTAATTATAACTGACTGCAATATTTTTGTTTCTGTACATGACCTTTTAATTTATAAAATTATTTCAACTGTCTGCCTAATCAATTTCTTGTCCGTTTTCTTAAAATTCTTCTCGACACACAACTTAATCTGACATCTTGAATTTGAATTTAGTTACAGTTTAGAGAAAATTAATGAACTAACAAGCTGCATCAGGGTTACATCAAGGGTCTTATCGAGGCAAGAGGTTGTGGAAAGCCTTCGTGCATAGGATGTTACGCCTTGAAAATTGTACAAAAAAACCTTTGTCGCTAGCAAAAATTCAAAATAACTAAAAAAACACTCACTCTTATTTTAAAAGAGAGATAAAAAATTTGGTGAAGCCCAATATTTAAACCTTTGAAATTACCCAGTTCATCCCGCATCAGTACAACATAATCAAAAAAGATCGAACAGGTTTCTCCAGCTGTAATTGGGCTTCTAGTTTACGCGCATCCAAGTTCAGGCGTAAATAATCGATTATAACGGATTTTTATGATAATTTATTGACAATTATAATTGATTATAATTACCGAAATGAGGTGTTTAAAGGATTTGCTATTGATTATAATCGTGATACTTTCCAAGAGATTTTAATCGCTTATAATCGATTCTAATTGATTATAGTTCTTACAAGAAACTCTTAAAATCAATTATAAGCAATCATAATCGATTATTCTCTTATTTTGCCGAAATTTGGTCAATTCAAAGTTATTTTCGAATTATATCTTATGGGTTTTTATTTTTGTGTCAATATGAAAATCTCTAAAAGAGAGATCTCTTGAAAACTTTGGTTCATTGAACACAAAATTTTACCACGAAACAAAATTTTCATTGAGATCCTTTCATATGAGTGGAAAAGTTCCCGCGGTAGACGAAAAATAAATATACTGAATCAATCATAAAACTAAATCAATTTGCTGATGTTTGTTATTTAAAAAAGCTTAAAATATGCATTGATTATAATTACTAAAGTTAGGTGTTTAAAGGATCTATAATTGATTATTATCGTGATATTTTCCAAGAGATAATAATATCATAAAATCGATTATAATTGATTATAGTTCTGACAAAAAACCTTAGAATAAATTATAATCGATTATAATCTTTTATTTTGCCAAAATTTTGTCAATTTAAAGCTATATTCGAATTATATCTTATGGGTTAATATTTTTGAGTCAATAAAAAAATCTCTAAAAGTGAGATCTCTTGAACACTTTGGTTCATCTGAACACAAAGTTTTACCTCGAAACAAAAGTTTCATAGAGATCCTTTCATATTAGTGTGAAGATTTCCGCGGTAGATGAAAAATAAATCTTCTGAATCGATCGCGAACTTAAATCAATTTGCTGTTGTTTTCATGGTTAAAAAACTTAAAATATGCATTTTAAACAACTCTTTTGGGGAAGAAATGAAAAAGAACCTTTTAAACTTGAAAAGATTGGAAAACTTTGAGAACATTTCTCGCATTTTTCATAGGAACCAACGTCTACAAAAAGCATAAAATATGAGCCATTTAGATGCAAATTCGAAGACATAATGGACAAACAAAAGGGATTGTAATCAATTATAATTAATAATAATGGATTTTTGTGCAAAAACAAGGCGGGGACGGCGCGACCAAGGCAGAGACGGCGCGGCTTTCCAGACCAAGGCGATGACGGCGCGAATTTCCAGACACAGGCGAACGCGGCGCGACTTTCCAGAACAAGGCCGAGACGGCGCGACCAATAAACAATTCCTCGAGACCGAGGTAGATACGGAGAGATTTTTTCCTTAACTTCAAAAAATTTGATCGATTATTAACGCTTGAAACTGGATGCGGGTAAGATGTCTTTGGTCTTTGTTTGATGTTTTTTCAGAATATAATTGGGAGTGGGTTCAGGGGCGGATTTAGGGGGGGGCGGGGGGGGGGGCGGACGCCCCCCCCTCAGGGATTCGACCCCCTGCCGACCCAAAGGGTCCCCCCTTTGATACTTTTTCAGAAATCCATTTTTGGCCGACCGACCCTAAAATTTTTCTAAAGGCGCCTTCGGCGCCAATATATACTAACTTTGAGGGGGAGCGCGCGCCAAAAAAACGCGATTTTTTTGTCAAAATTTTTCAAAAATTGCCTGAAAACGGCTTTTCTGACTGTTTTTTCAAAAATTTGCCTGCGGCGCAGAAAATTTTGCCAAAGTAGGGGCAAAACAGTGCTTTGGGAGAGCTCGAAAAATCAATTTGGTCGACCTAAAAAAAAAAAAAAAGGGTCGTCAAAATTTTGGAAAATTTTTTGAAAATCCGCCCCCCCCCTCGAGAAAATCCTAGATCCGCCCCTGAGTGGGTTCTATATTTTTAATTTTTGAGAGGCTTCAGAAAATTTTTTGCTTCTTCAAGAACTTTAGCAGTGGTACCACTGGAAATACAGCCTAGTAAACTGTGTTTCTGCGTTTTTCTCTAGTCTTTTTTCACCATACTTTAATATCTATAGCCTTCGAAAAACTCTATGGGGGGGGGGGGGGTTTTGATAACTGACCCAAATTTTTGGGTTTTTGTTTTGTCTTAATCTACACTCTCACATCTGGGGATTCGACTTCAATTAAAAAGATGGAATGGAAAAAGCTCCTCTGCATAAACAGCTACGCCCATTTGTTAAGTTGTTACACAAAAAGTAATGACCCTCAAAAAATTGAAATTGTGATTTTTTTTACCGTTTTTCAGACTCTTTGACTTTTATCAAAAGCTACCCTCCCAAATCTGAAATTTTGGCTTAAATGGATAGAACGGGTTTTTACAATCTCCGCTTTCTAGGCCCGTACACTCAATTTTTTGGCACACAAAAAGTTATGGCCTTCGGGAAAATCAAGTTTTTGTTTGTTTTTTGAACCCTAGTATTCAAAGATTACGGTTTTCACTGGCTTTTGAAAATGTGCTTCTGTAATTAGAATGTGTATTTTCCATATAACTGCCGGAACAGCTGCTCTGCCCAAACTGTTTGAAAGATCAAAAGAAATGGTCTCTGAGCGAAATGCAGACATACCCAGTAAGTTGCTATTGGTTATTAACTCCCTTGAAAAACTTGAAACCTACTTTAGAACATGGTTCTTTGTGTTCTACGGTTTTAAGAGAAGCTCGCCGCTGAGTGATAAGTATTAGTTAAATTACGCAATTAGAAAGACCGTTACATAATTTTTTCAGTTATTGCGACAACTTCCAGTGTAGGAAGGAACTCTGTCTTATGGATTGCTTTCACTTCCGAAGCAATAGCCTCAAAAGGAATCTCCATATGTTTTTATCAGATTCATTTAATTCATTTTAAATATTTGCATGACATGAATAATCAACAGAATTAGCAACATGTTCAAGTACAAGAACGAAGACTTAGCCGAAAGACTCCCACCGCATCCCTATAATTACTCCACATTTGAATAAAATGGAAGGAACCCCCATTTATATCGAACTTAATAGGCGGCACAAGACACAAAACTCTTCAGTGGATAATAGAAGTAATAAGAACCCGTCACCTGATAAAATGAAGCAATTGCGAAAGTGAAGCCGTTCGCTGTTGCGTGGAAGAAAAAATTAAATTGACTAAACGTAGCTCTATTTTGAGACAAAACAAAAGAACTTTTTCTCGCAATAGATAGATTTTAAAATTTCTGCTTTTTACCCCTCATAAGAGATATAATTAAAGCAAATATTATGAAAACTAAAAAAAGGCAATAAAACGCAAACGAGTTGAGAATGAAAACGATATTTAGCTTTTTCTCGCCGCCTTGTGGAACCAGTTTAAAACTAGTGTTTATATCCAATTTTTATTGATAAAACAATCTCTATAGATTACTTTTTACTAACCAATTATGATCCATAACTAATACTTACAATAATTTGAAAGGCTGAAACTATTCATAGTTTCAGCAACAGACCAGAGTTAATTTAACTAAGCAAACAGTTGCTCTTCTCCAGAACAGTTCGTGATATCTAACTCGCAAATACCAGTTGGCACTAGACCCGTTGAAACAAGGAGATATAAGAGTAGGGTTAAGATCGGTATTATACTTAGAAGTTGCACGAACCTATCCGGCCGAAAATAAGATAGCGTGATGAGCAGATGATGTATCTGATCTGGAATTACTCCATGGGTGAGCCACCACGGACATAAACTCACTTGAACTTTCAACAAAAATAATCTGTTCGACGTATGAAATAAAAAGAAAATAAGAGGTGGTAACAATTCTATGAAATAAATGGAAATGTTTTAATTTAATGGAGTTTAACAAGATGCATTATCTGATTTGTCTTCCTTACAAAATTGTCTTCCAGAAATGCAAAATCATCTTCATTTTGTAAATAAGTCAACAGCATCATTTCATTCTAGATTATCATTAGGTGTCTTCCAAACCTATCTTAGGGTATGCACTCTTTTCGAGTTAAATTTTAGAAGCTGAAAAAAAACATAATTGCTACCTTAATGGATACATTATCAACTGCAGACACTTTTATAGGTTTAGCCCGTTTTTGGCAAGCGCAGAAATCTTGTATTATGAAAAAAAGTAAACTGTCATAACCGTTTTTCAAAGTCAAAAACTGATAAAACAACATCACAATTACGCAAATCATTTTTTGAATGTGTGCCAATGAATAAAACTTTTTTTCCTTAATTGGTTTGCTTGTTGTTTGGTTTCTTTTTCTGGAAAACAGGCCACAGTTTTGCATTGTCGCTTTATGGTGGATTTTAGTTTTAAGTAGCCCAGCATAATAAAATTTTCCCCTCTCGATGAGATGGGCCAGTTGTAAAAAAAAAGTGTCAAGAGAAACTCAGAGTGCTCTATACTGATATCATAACGAGGCCAAACTGTGCATTTTGTGAAATTTAGGCGGAATTTTGTAGAGTCGTGTGTATGTATGTATGTATGTATGTATGTATGTATATATGTATGAATATATGTATGCATGTATGTATGTATGTATATACGTATATATGCCTGTATGTATATATGTATGTATGTATGTATGTATGTATGTATGTATGTATGTATGTATGTATGTATGTATGTATGTACGTATGTATGTATGTATGTATGTATGTATGTATGTATGTATGTATGTATCTATGTATTGAGTTATAACCGATGTGGTTAAATCATAGAGTAATTTCGGATAGGGTACACCGTCTGCTCGTCACGCTATCTTATTTTCGGCCGGATAGATTGGTGCAACTTCTTAGTCTAATACCGACCCGAATCTTACTCTTATACTTTCTAGTCTCGGTGTTTAATTAGTCTCTGCTAGGCTCAATAGATCTAGGGTATACTGGTTTATTGCGGCTGCTGAAGTTCTATTGGAGAGACAACTAGTTTCTAAGTTAAATTCAAATCTCTCTGGTGCTGAAATTACAAGTAATTTAAGCACTTACAAATAAGTGGGTTGTTAGTTAGATGGATTATGATTGGTTAATATTAAATAATTTACAGTGGTAAAATATCCAATTTATCCAATCATAAAATATAGTTTAGATCAGGTTCCACCCATCCAGGTTTTACAGAGTTTTTAGAATTATCTTTCTGCAATTCAAAGGATGGATGTGTTGATCTATATACTGCAAGGTATGATTTACATTTTATAAAATTTTATTAGTTCGGTTTTTTAATCATGAATTTAGTTAGTTGTTTTCACAAAAGCATTTTGTTTTAGCTCGGTTATTTTGAAGAGTTACTCACACTTGAGTACCTCTTATTAAAAATAGAAGTGTGGTCACAAAGCGTGGATGTAGCGCGGTGGGTTAGGCCGGCTATAGAGCATGCTCAGGACGTCCTCTCTGGTGGGTTAGGCCAGGAGTGGGAGTATGATTTCGTGCTGTTTCTTTGAGAGGTCCTGTTATGTGATAACGTTTTATGTTGGGTTTATGTTCGTTCTTCTTATGTTTCTTTGGTTGTGTCCTTTTTTCAAAAATCAAATTGTTTTGGTATTGGTTTGTCTTGCGACTTTTTTGTGTTTTATTATTTCTTTCTTAGACTTTTGAATAGTCTTTAAAAGAATAAATTATCCAGTTTGAAACTGGTTAATTCGGTTTGGGTACCGTTGGTTTTCTTTTCTTAGTCATGCTGTTATTTTATGATTTGTGGTGTTTAGTAAGCTGCGTTGGTTAGTTTGGTTTAGTATATAATTCCTTTCCAACCGAGTTAAAGGAAAGTATGAAACTTGTTATCGCGTGTTAGAGTTGTTGAGTGTTAAAACTTGAAACTCAAAATCATTATTTAAACAATTCTTCGTGGGCGAGCTGTGCGAGTTTGGATAGAATTCTTGTGCGAGTGAATGAAAATATCAAAAGGTTAGTACTGCATTTTCATTTTATCAATTTATTACATAGAATTTCAAATTTACTGTTTTTTTTGGGAAAATTTAAAGTTATAAATTTTCATCGTAATTAAGTTTACTGCTTCATGGGGAAACAATTTATAAATTAATTTACTATATTTGGTATGAATTTTATTATATTATTTTGTGCAAAATATTAATGAATTTAGAAGAATTTTAACAAGTTTATTTTTTTTTTCTATTTTTTTGCAGATGATCGTGGTATGAAGACTAGAAATGTAAAAGAAACATGAATAAAGAATGGTTAGTACTAATTTAAATTTATTAGTTAAGAATATTTTTAAATTATACTTACCTGTTAATCGTCTGGGAAAAAACCGTGGGGAAGATGTCGTGTATCATGTCCGATGTTGTTAGTAATTTTGCTAGTATGCGAATGATGTTTTTAGTTTGGAGCAATGGCCAAAGCAATTGAAGTGCTTTAATGGTTTTTAGTTCTTCGGTGCCTACTGCAAACTCATAAGGTGTGTTTTGAATGAGGTTATATATTTTGTGATTATATTTAGTATTGTGAATGAATTCTAATATTGGGATTTCTAAAGGCTGGATAAATTCATGTGGGATAAGGAAGGGTCTGGATTCTTCGGCGTTAAAGGTCTTCGTGATGGGACAAAATATATACATTTGTGTTACTGGGTCATAATTGCGGAGGATGCCGTGGAGGTTAGTATCCTTGATGCAATAAGTGAAATTCAGAAAAAATGGTGAAATGTACTTCCAGTTAAGAAACTGAAAACGATGGTGTGGTTGTCTTGATGGAGTATGTAAATCAAAATGATTTTGTAGGAAGCGATAGTATGTATATGTATGAGTCTGTTTAGTGCGTAACATAATGTCGTGTGAACAGTGCAAATCGCGTTCATGTGGTGCAAGGAAGTGAAAGGTTAGTGAAATTAACTGAAATTTGTCTTTAAAACTTTCGTAAGCTTGAATATCATTTAGTGCTTCAGAAATGATGTGATCATATTTTCTATCAAAAATATTATGTGTGAATACATATGACGTTTTGATGAAAAATTTTTATGTTAGTTGTGGGTTAGCGAAGCGGTCGTCATCTAGAAATTGGTCTTGATTAGTTCGGATGATATTATGGTCGTAATATTCTATTGTAAATTCGTTAGCACGAGGTGCAGTGAATGTTTTTAGTAATTTTTTATATCCTACATAAGAAAAATGTCTAGGTGTTAGTGTTGCGGTGAGTCTATATATCATATTTTTATTTTTTTTCTATATCGTCATGAGTACTAGATAGTGGCAGGCAAAGGGGATTAGTAAAATGGTAATATGCTGTCCAGTGAAGTGTGGGCATTAAAACATGTTCATCTACAAAACTACGTGTGTCGTTAGTGTCGTTAGGTGTGTTTAATGTATATTGTGGGAATGAGGGTAAGGTGACTGCTAGAAAATCTTTCGTGTTGGTGTGTTGTGGATGATTAATATTTTCGCAGGCTGTTCCTGGTTTGGTCGGGAATGGATGGTTCGGGAATTTCCTTTTAAAAGTGCGATAAGCTCGGTTAGTGCTATTAGATGTTTCGGTGGATGTGGATGATTGTGCTAATGATGCAGTGTAAGCTGAGGAGTGTGTAGGAGTAGGTGGGTTTGAGGATTCTATTGTGGATGAAATTTGATGTATGGTGAGGGTGTTAGGGTGTATTAACTGTTGTT